TTCCCTTTCCACCTCCCTCCTTCTCTCCTTCTTTCCTCCCTTCCCCTCCCTCCCTCCCTCCTCCCTTCCCTCCCTCCTTCCTTCCCTCCCTTTCCATCTCCCTCCTTCCTTCCTTTCTTCCTTCCCTCCCTCCCCCTAACCCTCACCCCTTCCCATTTTTAAGGGACCCTCACCCTGCAAATCCAGTACTCCCTCGGGAGATGGGCTTTATAATATTTCTTTCATTTTTGTCAGAAATCTCCTCGCCTTTTGTGAAGGCTCTGGTGACTTATGTACCTTTAATAAAGAGAAAGATTTCATGGAAGTGACCGGCCAGAGAACTTTCTATCCATGGATGATGCTTTCAGATTATTGCTGTCATTTAAATTCCTCTGATGCCAATTAAATATATGCCAATTAAATATATGTATATGTGTGTGTGTATACACACACACACACATGCGTGTTTTTACATCCCTGTGGGTGAATTCTTCCTTTCAGATTGCAGAATAGTTCATCACACAAATAAATACAAAACACAAAAGGGAGCTGTCCTTGGGATGCAATTATAAGACGGGGTTGTGGTTTTCTGGGTAGACTGCTCCTGTACACAGCAGCTCCATTGCTGGAGCAAAGCCACTTCTTTTCCATTCAGTTTTGTTTCTTGCAAAAGTCCAAGATGTCGACTTCCAATGAAATCAGTTCACACCTCCTTTTTCCCAGATCCCTAACCTTGTAAGGTTACAAAAAAAAAAAAAAAACTTAATTTGTTGACGGCAATAATGTATGGAGCACTATGCCACGCGTTTCTTAGCTTGGGATCTCTGTTTAAGGCTGGGTTGACTTTAAACTATTGCAATTATTTCTTATCCATTCTTGGGAGGTGCCAAAAACACCACCACCACCCCAAAAAATTGTGTTATGGGGCAGCTAAGGAAAAATAGGGGTCCAGTTAAACAGAGGAATGAAGAATCATTGATTCAATCAAATATCATGAGCTAATTTCACCAATCACATCTTGGGGTCATAAATTCCTGAGTGAAATTGTAGAATCGCTGAATTATAACATGTGAAGTTATCAAAAAGAACCAACCTGAATCCTTGCCAAATTTAATATGCTGAGGCATATTAAATTGTATCCATTTTAAGAGGTATGGACTTCAACTCCCAGAATTCCCATGGGGAATTCTGGGAGCTGAAGTCCACACATCTTTAAAGAGGTTAAGGAAAGAAAAGGAGGGAAGAAGTGAGAGAGAAAGGGAGAGGGAAAGGGAAAGGAGAGGGACAAGAGGAAAGAGAAGGAAAGGAAAATTAAATTATAAAAAATAAGATGGATAAGAGAAGACAGAGAATTTTCTAAAACTAGGTGCAACCTCAGAGGTGGAGGGTTTTGCCTGTTTGCAATGCAAATCCCATCATCCTTGCTCCTGCCACCTCAGACTGATGGGAGTGGTAGTCCAAATCACCCCACTACATTGGCTTTGCACCTTTTTTTAAAAAAATAAATGCCTTTAACCCCAGCCGATTCCCACCCAGCCACCTTCCCTCCCCGTGCGCCTTTTTCCTGGGGTTCCCAGGGGGGGGACGACAATGTGATGTTTATGACGTTGACCCCTTCCGCCCTTGGAGGCCCTTCTGGACAATAGCCCCTATTAACCCCCAGCCTGGCCCACTCACCCCATTGTCTACTGGGGCATTTCCCACCCTTTGGGCAAAGCCTTGAAAATGTTCAAAAGGGAACCAAAGAAACGTGCCAAGGGTTGCCATTCAGCCCAGGGGAAAGCAGGTCTGGGAGGATCAGGCTGTTTTCTCAGAAGTCCCTTTTGGAAAAATCTGGGAACAGCCTTACCCCCTCCCCTAAATCTCTCTCTCTCATCTATCTATCAATCATCTATCTATCATTTATCTATCTATATCTATATCATGTCTCATCTTATCTATCTATCTATCTATCTATCTATCTATCTATCTATCTATCTAATCTATATCTATCATATATCTATCTCTCTGTATCTATATCTATATCTATCTATCTTTCATCCATCTATCATCTATTTATCTACCTCTATCTCTATCTATCTATCTATCTATCTATCTATCTATCTATCTATCTATCT